AGGCTCCTTCGTATTACAATCCTAACCTATAGAATGAACTGGTGGTGGGAGGTGGAGGCATATTCTATTTTAGTTTACAAGCTAATTCCTCACTTTATAAAAAGCCGAATGTTTCCTCCTGGAAATCAGCTCTCACGGAGCACTAAAAATACAGTTGACTCTATAATATCGGTAATCATACAACTTATCACACACAAAATGTTACTTTTCATGAACACTCCCATTGGGGGAAGACATTCCCCTAAGATAATGCCTCTCTTGAGGTCCAATTTGATGCGTGTTTCTACCGTAAACGGAGCAGGGAAGACTTTGTCCGCCGCATTTGGAAAGCAAAGTCCCTTTTCTTGTGATGAAAGGTCTGCAGTGCCTACACTTTCCCACAAGGCGTCAGTGCAGCGCAGGGCCGTCCACCTTAGGAGGCAGTGGCTCCTGCCCAGGGGCGACAATTCACCGGGAGTTAGAGGCAGATCTGACAGCGTCTCGGCATCGTTGAAAGCTCCAAGCATTTGCCAGAAACGAGGTGGCCGTTCTCGCGGAGAAACAGGATGAACTCATTTTGTGAGATGGAGAATCCTTGGACGTTAACAGAAACAAATTGTCTTTCCTATATAAATACAAAATGTATCCACCTAAATCACCAACGAAAGCGATTTTCGGTAGGCACCAAGAAACACTGAGTCGTAAACACTGTCTTCCCTTCAGGTTTCTTTTGTGAGTTGATAGAAATGCATAAGGTAACATGCTCCTTTCATTTCTACGGCTCGGGTCTTTGGTCTTTGGATGGAAATAGTGCTTAGGATTTGAAACAAATGATTAAATAAAAATAAATTCCCCAAAAGAGACATTTAAGATAGAGCCATTTGAGTTTTTTAGGGGAAATTTCCCTTTTATATTTCTGTACTGGGCTGGGTTTCCACTGAATATAAGTGATCCAGCAGGCCCAGAAAACAAGTGATTCCACTGCCCCTTGCCGATGCCAGCTGGAGGAAAAGCCAAAAGTGCCTACTGGGTGCCAAGACCCAGGCTGCACCTAAAGAAGCATGAATTGGCCACTTCCTAGTGTTCACCTCATAGAACTTAGCCAGGGAGACCTGGCGCTTGACTGCTCTGTCACATTGTGGCAGGATCCACTTGTGTCTCCCAATGTCCATCTTCCTGTCTTCCTCACTATCGGAACTCCGATGTGAGCCGAGGCTGTGACTGCACAGGAGAGTCTCTTTCTCAGACTGACCGTGGAGTCACAGGAGCAGCCAGGGCTGATGGGGTGAAGGCAGAGGGGGTGTTTACAGTGGCAGGGGGTCCCTTTGCTTTTCCTGCTTTCCTGGTGGCTGAGATGCGGATGTGACGGTTGGAGTGGAGCTGCCACATTAGATGATGAGGTGACAGATACACGATGACAGTAGAGAAAGAAAAGAGAGAGCCAGGCGTCTCATCCTCACAGGGCCCGCACAGCAGCCTGGACTGCTCGCCTTGGGTTTTTACAAGAGTGAAGTAAAAATGTTTTGGGGTTTTCGGTTAGCTGCAGCTGAAACTAGTCCTAATCAATAGATTCCTTGAGAAAACAGGTCAGAGGTAAGGTGGGATTTTTTTCGAATTATTCATTTTGTCGTCATTTCATAATTTTGATCACCAGTCAACACTTAACTGAATGTGTTTATATGATACTGCGGAGTGATCTGATTTTACACGGCTTAGGGACGGGGTTGGATCCTGACACCACAGCGAAGTTCAGTTGTTCGAGTCCTTCATGAAAACGGCTGCGGCCCCGCTGTATAAATGTAGCTGTTCGGTCACGGCCATAGCTGTTTCTCACATCTGTTTTCCCTGGGCCCGGAGGTTGTTTGTATCCAGAATTTCCCTTTATGACTGAGGAAGACAAAGTCGAAATCCTGTTCCTTCATTCAAGCTTCATGTTTGATGCAAAACATAGAAAACCACCCTAGCCGGTCTGGCTCAGTGGTTGGAGTGTCGGCCCAGGGACTGAAGCGTCCCGGGTTCGATTCCGGCCTAGGGCACGTACCTAGGTTGCAGCTTGGATCCCGGTCCTGGCCGGCTCACAAGCGGGAGGCAACCAATCCATGTGTCTCTCTCGCATCAATGTTTCTGTTTCTCTCTCCCTCCCGATCCTTCCACTGTCTCCGAAAAAACAATGGAAAAAATGTCCTCAGGTGAACGAAAAAACATACAAGACTGTGGACGACTGCATTAAAGGTCATGCGCTGAGGCCCACCTGCACCTGCTCACCGGGATGTTCTGATTCGGAACCACTTTCTGGCTCGAGGTCGAGGGCAGGCAGGTTCTTTTCCCTCTAGATCCCTGCAGACAGAGTCACAGGGTCTAGATGCAACGGAGCTGTGCTGCCACTGGTCCTCCCTAGCTCCGCAGGGAAAATGGAGGGGCGGGCCCACTGGCCCAACAATTCCCCACCCCTCCAGGAAGCACTGGGGGGCAGGTAGAGTGGGGTGGGGGACATTGTCCTGGCAGCCCCAAGTCTTCAGCGGGCTGGATGAGGGACAGGGCTCTGTCAGCAGGTCTCAACAGGTCTGAGCAGCACAGGCCCAGTGCCCCAGGCTCAGTAGGGGCCTGGCAGCCGAATGCCATCCAGAGCGATGAGGGGGCCACACAGCACAATGGGGGTGGCCAGACATTCAGGGATGGGGGCTTCCTGGCCAAAAATACCAACCAGTTCTTTACAGAAACACAGCTAAAAGTCAACTGCCCACTTATTTTCCAAACTAGCCATATTATACTCAAATTGCACAGGCCAGCTTTAGAGACAGCCTACCTGCTTCAACTACTTTAGGGGAGTCTGGTGACCAAAGCAAAGGTATTTCTCTACAAAGTAGCACTTGCCAGGAAGGGCCTAGGCCCCATGATGAGAATTATTCCAGGGATTCCCACCAAAACACTCTAATTTGCCACCACACCTAGCAAAGGGCCCTGCTAATGTAAACTAGCAATAAAAAATGTCCAGAATATAGAACCTCACTGCTCTGAGATGTTTCAGGGTTCACTGAGGCCTGGAGGAATTATTTCTAAATGCTGCCAACCTGTGTCTAATTCTACCCTCACAGGAAGCCTTTGGAGCAATACAGCATCTCAGATAAGTTGACACGAAGAGATTGGCAAACCTAAGCATCGTGGTACCTGAGTCTCATCCTTCCTTGCATATGAATAAAGTGCCATTTTGGTTTTGCATGTTTTATATGGTCTAGTGCAGGTAAGTCCATCAGTTTTTGGAATATTGAAAAAACAAAACCAAGGATGTGGGGGTCCACAGTAAGGTAACGATGCCTGGCCCAGAGGGCTAGCTGGCCTCCATATGGCATTGCTCTTTAGACTCAGGATAGTAAGGTTGAGCTCCCCTGTCAACAGTGGCTCCTAGTAGAGTGTGATAAAACTTGTGAGGCTCTGAGAAGATGAGCACCATGATTGATCAGTAATGTCTGCAATAGATTAGGGGCAGGGAGGGGTCTGGGCTGTGAGGGGGACAGGGGCATCTGCATTCCAAGTCATGTATTTCATCAATTCTACCAAACATCCACCACCACCCCCGATTTTTATGTCTTTGAAATTGGGATGCTTCTTATAATCCTGCGCCAGATTGTATTTTCAAAAAATCAACACAGTAGTCCAAGCCTCACTTGTCCTCCAGAACCTAGCCAAGTCCCCATAAAGGAGTGGAATTTGTCCTGTCCCCTTTAACTGGGGTGTGGGGGAGTATGGTGACTGCTTCAATTAATGGAGTATGGCAAAAGGGATGCTAAGCGAGTTATGAAGCTAAGCCATTAATAACTGATATTGCTTCTCCTGGCCTTTTCTTTGGGATGCTCATCCTTGGAACCTAGTTACCATACTCTAAGGAAGCCCATGCCATGTGAAGAGTCCCTGTTTCCAGACCTGGCTGAGGTCCCAGATGACAGCCAGCATGACTTGCAGGCCGTGTGCCACCCTAGAAGTGGATCCCCCAGCCCAACTGATGCTGCGTGGAGCACAGATGAACCTTCCCTACTGAGCCCTGCCCACATCGCAGATCCATGAGCACAGTAACGACTGCTACTGTTTCAAGACACCAACTTTTGCAGCAGTTTGTTACACAGCAACAGTTGTCATGGCCCAAATGTGTACACCAAAACTTGTAGAATAAGTGTCAGTTCACTGAAAGAAAACCCTGAAGACCACAGAGAAGCATGGTTTAAAGAAAGGCTGCATCATCAACTCAGAAAGTGACTTAGAAGGATCAGCCTCAGAATAGAAGAAATCTGAAGACCACCACACCAAACTTATTCTGTATATATCTTCCTTTGTAAGGACACACAAAAGTCCCAGCTGACAGCCAGCACCGACTTGCAGGCCATGTGAGTGCCACCATTTCATGATGCATAATGAAAAAGCCTATATATTAATAAGTTTAACAGGACATTCAGAGAACATTAAAAACATGTTAAGTAATAAAGCATTGTGTCAGTTTCACTGGCAACATTTTCCTTTCTCAGTGGTATAAGATAATTTTACAATCAATGACATCTTAGATCTAGTGAAATACAAGTATTTATTGTTCTCGACTTTAACCTCTCTAATTATACCACTAAATACAAGTGTTGTAAGAAAATTTCAAAGATTTTTCGTGTTTCCTTTGAAAATTAAAAACAAACAAAAAGTCAGCAGGGATAGGCATTTTAAAAGTTCAATTTAATTTTTACTGACATAATTATGTCCATAGTATTGTTCTATTCAAGATTTTGGGATTTTTTTTTAAAGTTAATTTTCTGAATTTAATGTTCCAAATAAGTGACTTCCCAAGAACCCTGAAATCACATGAATTTCACATTATTATGAATGTTTTAGGTGGCTCTCTCTTTTGAATGGAGTGGGGAGGGTAGGCTTAATGAACGTGTGATACCATTAACAACTCTGAGCTTAGCCAAAGATACAGTGAACGTTGAAGAAGTGATGGTGTTGGCTTTATTACTACTAAGTTCAAAGAATCAGATCTACCATTGATTTCAAAAACAAAAATTTATTCAGAAAATATATAAAAAAGTTTGACAAAAACTAAGGCTACAAACCCCCCACAATCTTGAACATCTCAACATCACTTACCATAGTCAACAACCAAAAGTCTCACTAATTTAACTCATTTTTTTAGGTAAAGAAAAAAAACAAGAGGTCTCCATAAATCACAGTATTTCATTTTATGAGTTACACTGCTAAAAACAGTTACCCAAACCTAGTTTGACTGCACGCTTTGGTTATTTTATAAAGTAATATTTTGTACTGAAACTTAGTCACTGTGAAACCTCTCAAAGTGTATTTATGAAGGTTAATTCACAGTAGTTTCACAAAGGCAAACCACTCTAAATGAAATTAAGTGATCCCTACCGCAACAGTGTCAACATGGCAATGCAACTCAAGTGTTTATTATAAAACATGGAACTTTGGTGGGGATGCAGAACACATTTAAACATGTTGAAATACAGCCAAGTATCAACTTTCTCAGAAATGGAGGGAGAAGAGCTGGCTCTGGAGACCATGGTGCCCAGGGTGCAGCAGTGAACCAGCGACCAGCCAGGTGGCCAGAATGCCACCGGGCATTCCACACCCAGGGAGAGGCGAGCCTGGAGGTCCGCGTCTGGGCCTTTTTCATCAGTCAAATCAACTTTGTTCAGTGAGGGTCGCAGGGTCCAGAACACATTCTAAATTCCAGCGCAGTGTTCCGCTGGAAGGTTTCAAAGTCCAAAGTCTTCAGGTTAAATTTTTTGGAGTTTTGTAATAATCAGTACTCTTACCATCTGATCAAATGAACTACAGAGGCAGAGGCCCCTTTTATCTGGACTCCAATCCAAACTGGAAATGGGCTGGGTAGACAACGTGACATTCTGCAGAAGGCTGACGGAACCTGCAACTCCCATCTCTACTCCTTCGGAATCTCTCTTTGACCGCTGAACGGGGTATTCGCTGAGAGCAAGAGCAGAGAAGAGGTACAGTCAGTGAAAAGGCAAAAGCCGAAACTAACACTTGCAGAGCCCATCTAACCACGTCCAGAATGGGTGAGACGCCGGTCTCCACCCCCGGCTGCATTGCAGATCCCAGCCTGAGGGCCTTCTGCGTACCACTCTATGGGAAGGAGATTCTAGACCTAAACATCATGGCTTCAAAACAGAAAAAGCCATTCCGAAACGTGATTGTCTTTCAGCTGAAAACATAAATTTATAAAATAAGAAAAGTTGAAGGCGATCAACTTATAAACACTATTTGGTCTAGATTCGAGAGAGGGGAAAAGAAACATCCCTCCTGGCACAGAGATGTGTTCCTGGTGAAATGCTGGGGTACCGCTTCTCCTTAGAAGGCCTTTTAAAGCCTGTTAGGTATCAACTATGATATTACCTGTATTTTACAAATGCTAATAAAGGCCAGCAGTTTCAGGATACAAAGCAACTGAGAAGCAGAGCAGAAACAGAAAACATGACAGGCTCATAACCTACTGTTCTTTCTTCCTCTCAGACCATACAATTCCTTCTGATTAAAAGGAATAAAACATTCAGATAAATAAATAGCAGATTCTTTTTCATATCTCTTGGCAAAGGCTGCAATAATTTAGTATTTAACAAATAACAAAGACTTTTAAAACTCTCCATACTGTCTATTAAAGTTTTGAGACTTTACGTGTTCCAAATATGCAAAAAAAAATCAGCATGTTGGGGTTCATTCATTCAGAAAACAATTTCTGAATAACTAGATGAGTTTCCTTAGGAATTCTTGGTTATGTGCTCAAGAAATTTCTCCTTTGCTGGTGTTACTGTTACACTTGACAGCAAAGCTCCAAACCAACTTGAAGATTAGGCTAGTTATCTATTATGGTAAGGGTTAACGTTTATTTTGAGGTAAACTACAAATTTCTAATTGCATACAGACCCAACTTCACTGATATTAACTGAATCCATGATAGTCAAAAATTCCAGCTGCAAATATGTTTACACATCCCAGAGAAAACAATTCCATGTGTGGATTACAAAGAAAACTAGGACTCAGTACTTCAAGTAAGCAGCCTGAAGAGCTGGGTCCTCAGGTAGAACAGTGAGGTGCCGCTGCATGGCTCTTGGGGATCTGCGGGGTCTGTCCCAGAGTGCAGAGGGGCTGGAACAATCAGGGAAGAACAATGGACGAGGTGCTGGGAAAGGGAAATTACCAAATGGCCTATTCTCCCAGATCTCTCAAAACTTTCCCTCTGCTTTTTATGCACAGAAACTATATAGTTTTCATTTAAAGCATTCACTCCCAGTTTTTGGTCAGCTATATCCCTAAATGCTTTTCAGAACCCTTTCTAGCTTTTAAAAGGAGCTAATAAGTAGAAAAGTGTTTTGTAATGTGAAAGTCCAAAAATATTAAAAATGGTGTTTTTCTTCTATTTATTTTTTTCAAATTTTATTTTTGAAATATTTCATTTATGGCTTATGTTTTTTTCTTTTTCTTTTTTCTTGGGTGATGTTTACAGAAAGAGATAACCAATAACGCAATTTTTATCAGGCCTTTTAAATGAGCAGCTAATCAAGTACCTGCCAACTTTGGCCCTTAGGATTAGGAGGGCAGTGTGGGGTAAGCTCTCCCGGTCACTCTCCCTGCCCGCAGAGGCAGAAAGCAAGCTCAAGACAAGGCTTTTCCCAGAGGTCAATCAAGGGCCTCAGCTCTGTTGTGCTTCTATCACAAGGATGTTACGTGAACTTGGGCAAGTGAATTATTCGGACATAAAACTAACAATTCCAGCCCTCTCCCTACCTTCTAGAGGTAGTGTTCTAATGACCTGCTGAGAACATTTCACAAAAGCCTTTGGTAAAAGTTTTCCTATTAAAAAAAAACACTAGCAAAACCCATGATTTCCAATCTATGAAAAGAATTGTTCCTGACCCACTATGATATACGAAAGACAACTAAACAACAAACATATTTAATGTGTCAAAAGGTTAATATTTACTAAGTGTAAAGTAAGTAGACTTGTTTTAAAAATGCTTAGCAAATAATACTTGTTAATACCATAAAATCTAAAATCACAGCAAAATGAAACAAGTCAAAGAAGGAAAACAAGGCAAAAAAGGTCAACCTAGTCCCACTTTACGCCCACGAAAAAACCAAAGGAGCCCGGGCCGGGCAGAGACTCACTACTTCCAGAGGTGGAGGCCACCGGCGCCGCCCGCCGTCAGGAACAGCTCTCGGTTCTGGGGCAGGTGTCGGACCTGCCACACGGTAGATTTATGGGCCTAAACAGGGCGAGAGGCACACAACCAGCGTGTAAGTTTATGTGATAAACGCAGCCCTGGGAGAGAAAGCCTGCAAGAAAGAAATTTTACTTCTGTAGTTTCAACAACTGTGATAAAAGTAATTATTTTCTGGTCCTTCTCTTTATAATGGCTACAGAGATTTACAGGAACCCTTGAGAGATCAGGAAAAACATCACTGTTCTTTATTGCTTTATGAAACAAGTTCTACTAGATTTTTTCTAAAAAAGATGCTATCAGTTGAAAAGTCTAAGCTTATAGTACCATATAAAGTATGCAAATAGATTTTATACATTTATATCTGTAGCTCACTCTGAAGAGAATTAAAAACTCAAAATACAAAATCATATGCTTCTTCCTAAGGGAAAATATAGATTGAATTTTTAAAAAATAAGCTTTATTTTTTAGTGCAGTTTTAGGTTCACAGCAAAACTGAGTGGAGAGTACTGGGAGTTTCCATATACAGAATAAATTTTAACTTAAAGCTCCCAGAGCTTTACTTTAATCTACACCATGGGACTTGTCTGGTCTTCAAAATAAGGGCCATAAGGACTTACAGACAGTGTTTATGGTCATAATAAGCCAAGGCCTTATCAGTCATATTAAACTAAAAGATAAAAATGGCAACCAGATAAAGGTTAACAGCTTGTTAGCAGTTAACAGCCAGTAAATCTATCGTAGGAGTGCTCTATTCACTGTGGGGAGCAGAGAGGGGGGAAGGGAGAGGAAGGTAGAGACGAGGGGCGAGGACAGGAGGGATGAGACTTCTGCTTCGTAGAGGCAGTGCACTGCCTAATGTGATCTAAGCCACTTCGCATTTTAGTGAGTGATTAGTCTTGACATTTGATTTTAATAGTCTTTTAAGAGAATTACCAAGAGCAAATAAAAACACATCTCAGAATACACACTTTAAGTGTGTGAGTCCTCAAGTGATTAGGTTCAAGCTCTTAAAACTTATTTTAATTTGCTTTGTAGCTTAAACTTCTTGTTTTCTTCTGGAAGTTGATAAAAACCCAAAAGGCAAGAGGACATATGACCTCTTAAAAGAAAAGTCATTTATTTTTCAGACATAGCAATTACTAGATTAACTAAATGTAAGAAAAAAATTTGAAGATAACACTAAAATGTACAAATAAGAAACAAGTTGCAGTTGTATATAAAACATTTAGTAAAGAGCTTTATGCTGATACTTAATATACTTTGAAACAACAAAGGCAAAACAATATTACAATGTAGTTCCCTTGTTAAGAGTTTAGTTCATCAGGCTGTGGTAGTAATTTCCACGCAATAATAATTATTGTAATAAGACAAAATAGGAAGTACTACTGAATCCATGGTGAGAAAAGAAGTGCATTTTTATTTCCTGAACAACTTACATATTTTAATCTTATGGAAACTACAAATCTGTAACTGGCCTTTGCTTTTATACTGGAGGAAGCTCAGAGGCACATTTCTAACCCATCTCTTGCAAATGACAGGATGTTTCAGCATGAATTTTATGCAATCCCCTTACTCCAGATATCATCTTATTTTTTTTAAACAAGTATTTTCCCTTTGCCCTGCTTTCTTCATCTATTTTTCTAATGTTGTAATACCACGTTTCCTTCTAAGCTACATCAAATACTATTCAGAATAAGGCAAAGTATGTATGTATGTAAGCATGAATAAATGAATAAATAAATTTTTGAGTGCCTACTATGTATCAATCACAGTGATTAACACTTTAATTTTACTTAATATAGCAAACTGGAATGTAAAATAAAATGTGATTAAATGACACTTTATATATATATATATATATATATTTATATATTCAAAGTATACAATTAGTATTATATTAAGGTGTATATTGTTATACACCTAAAGTATATAATTAGGTAGCCCAGCGGGTGTTGCTCAGTGGCTGAGTATCTACCCATGAGCCAAGAGGTCACGGTTCAATTCCAGATCAAGGCACATGCCGGGGATGTGGGCTCGATCCCCAGTAGGGGGCGTGCAGGAGGCAGCCGATCAATGACTCTCATCATTGATGTTTCTCTCTCTCTCCCTCTCCCTTCCTCTCTCTCTCAAATCAATAAAAACGTACATTTTTTTAAAAGTACATAATTAGGTATAAATACAAATATTTATTAGAAAACACAAGGCTAGATTTTGGTGAACAAATTCCTGTCATCAGCTAGTTTTCCTATGATTGCTCCTTAATTATAAATAGTATTCCTAGCCAACTGAGGCCTTTATTATAATCAAGAAGTCTAACACTGATAAACTTTGGGAAAGTACTCTGCACAGAAAACCTTGTCAAGATCTCACAAGAATATATTAAAAATAGCTCCCTTCACATAAAGACCTGGGAGGCACCTTGGTGACTAAGTCTATTTATTAGTCTAAAAAAGCAAAGAACATTCCTCTTCATAGAAAGACATTCCCCGCAGACTCACCTTTTCTGAAACAGAAGCAAAGCCTTTGGTCGGATGCTGTGTTCTCATGTCAAAAACATGAAACTTGCCTTCCAGAGATGTAGCTACTAACTTATTCATACTTATATCTTTTCTGTCAAACTCCAAGCTACATACCTGAAAATAGAGACTATTTATTATTGATGTTCTAATGATTATTATTCAGGAGGTTCTTTCAAACGAAGTGAAACAACTTTGAAATTATTAGCTCATGTGAAAGCATTTAAACAATCATTTTGTGTTTTGAATCAATACATTAAAAACTTAAACCATAAAAAAATGTTTTCTTGGTTAATAAGATCAAACCATCTTGAGTTCCCCAACTACTGTACACAGTCAGTCAAGGCACACAACTCAGGAACCAGAAGTCTGAAAGTACCTGGGGAGGCTGTTACTATTTTCAGGCTCTCTACAGGCTCATTTTGATATCCCAATGCGAGACCCACAGATGTCCACAGTCAGGCGGCAGGGCTGGAGACTCACTGGGCACTGCGACACCACATCTGGGTGTGTGTTCATTTTCTAAAAGAGGGCCCATGATTCTCACTAGATTCCCAAAGAGCCATACAGCCCCCGAAGGTTAAGAACCACTAGTAGAGGGGCTTTTCTGAGATGAGCTGTTGGAGTCACTTTCCCTTTCTAGTAGTTCAGAGGTGGAAGAAAACATGCTCAAAGAAATTGAAAAGGATCTTAAGGTACATTACCCCATTCTTAATGTTTGTCTCCCACCGCAACGACATGTTTCTGAGGTCAAAAAGTTTGATATCCCCGTTGTCATAGCCAGCACACACAACACGCTCCTCTTGATTATAAGCATTGCCTTCAAATCAAGGCACAACATTTCAGATCGTTATATATGCTAATCCAAAGGCTGCTAAAATAATTTTATGAAACTATGCACATAACTTGTACCGAATCAGGTTTTAAAAATCACGTTTGGTAGAATCTCATGTTACCAACCCTGACAGGCCATCAAGGTTATTAATTTGGTATCTTATGTAGTTTTTGCTTTGTTTTTTAAAGCTCATTCTGTACTGAAGGGATATGTGAAAATGTTTACTGCATTCTAAGTTGAAAGCAAATGTTCTCTCTACACTATATCTGCAGACAAAAAGACAACTACAGTCCAAACATAGTAGGGTTCGGTAGAATAAATACAGCTATGCTTCCACTGCTTTCTTTGGTAGTAAACTATATTTGAATGAAAACAGAAGCTACTTTAAAACTTATTTATTGCCTGGCTGGCGTGGCTCAGTAGTTGAGCATCGGCCTGTGACCCAGGAGATAGAGGTTCCAATCCAGGTCAGGGCACATGCAGGGCTGCGGGCTCGATCCCGAGCAGGGGGCGTGCAGGAGGCAGCCGATCAATGGCTCTCTCATCATTGATGTTTCTTTCTCTCTCCCCCTCTCCCTTCCTCTCTCTGAAATCAATAAATACATATTTTAAAATAATAATAAAAATAAATAAATAAAACTTATTTATTTTGCTAAAGTTTGCTCTGGGGTTACCTCATCTTTGTAAGGAAACCTGAAATAAGTTGTAGCACACTGTGACATATTTCTAGTTGTATGGTCACACCTGTAAATTTATAATCTGTAGTTAAATTCCTCCTGCTTGGTTCCAGGGATTTTTTCTGGACTTCTCTTGCAGAGGAAACTGTGTGAAGTGAGAGGGGGGCCCATGTAACTGTGCTGGGCTATCTGGGCATCTTATCCCAAAGTCTTTGTTTTTTACCACCTCAACTCCTGCCTTCTCAGAAAACCCAGTCCTGCCTTTCTACCGTGGGCCCACCCGGGTGACACAACAGCCCTTACACGCAGGATGTCCAACACTGACCTCACCATGTTCCTTTATAAACCATCATCCCTCGTGAGACTTTTTCTTTCTTTCTTATTGTATTGTGTCTACCACCCAAAGTCAAGTCTCCTTCTGTCATCCCCCCTTTTACTCTCTTCTGCCTTTCCCAACCCTTTCCCTCTGGGAATCACCATACTGTTCTCGTGTCTACAAGTTTTGTTTTTTTCCTTAATCCCTTCACCTTTTTCACCCAGCCCCTCTATCCATGAGTCTGTTCCTATTTTGTTTGTTAGTTTATTTTGTTCGTTAGATTCCACATATGAGTGAAATCATATGGTACTTGTCTTTCCTTGACTGGCTTATTTTACTTAGACTAATGCTCTCCAGGTCCATCTACACTGTTGCAAAAGGTAAGATTCTCTTCTATTTTTATGGCTGAGTAGTGTTCCATGGTGTAAATGTACCACAGCTTTTTAATTCACTCATCTACTGATGGGCACTTGGGCTGCTTCCAAATCTGGGCTATTGTGAATACTGCAATGAACATAGGGGTGCCTATATTCTTTATAGATATTTCTATTACTACAATATTTCCTTCTACATACTTTCTTCCAAGTATGAAGAAATTTCCTTCTTCCAAGTATGAAGAAAATTCTTGAAATTTCCTTCCAATTTCAGTGGTTCAAATTCTATATATTCTTGAGGTAAAAAATGCCCCCACTGCACCCTAGTCATCTCTCCCTTGGGATTCTTTCTGCATTTGTCCATGCCTCTTGTGACCTTTTACCACTCCTACCTTGTAACTATAATTAATGTAGATAGCATGTCCTCTTTACTAAACTATAAGCATCTTGGAGCTAGATAATGCATTGGTTTCACCTTTCTATGCCCAAAGCTTTGCACTTACTTGGCACTCATAAAAAATTGTCAAATCAATGGATTTTCTTTTTAAACTTAATGTCCTATATTTAAAATTGTACTTCTGTCCCTTAGATCAATGTTGAAAGGCTTTAATGAACACAAAGGTAATTACTTTTTAATTATTATATCAATTTTTGGATGATGATTCTAAATACTAAACCTGAAATTTCTCCCCAAGTGTATGTCTTAAGTTTATATATTATTGCTCATAATACACACACAAACAGTAATTCCCATACAATAACTTATTTTTAAAATGGATGTCTAAACCTTTTCTCTAAGTAATAGTCCAATTTTAAAATAACATAAAAAGCTGAACAGTTTACATATATTGTTAAATCCCACTTTTAATGTCTGTTATCCAGAAGATTATACTAAGAAAAAGAGGAAAGAAAATAGAGGTTTAAAACTAAATATGCCCTAAATCTCTTACTAGCAAAAATTATTTTACTTTTGGTGCTCGGCAAGAGACACAAAGGTAAACATATTAGTCCTACAAAATCAACATTTGTTTTAAGTATATTAATAGAGGAAGACAGTTATTAAATTTACAAGAAATAATTTTGTAATGGTATAACTATTTTCTAGAAAATAAACATACTCTATGTAGAGTATAATGTAAGATTTGTTAGGTTACCATCTCCTCTTGAGGCTCTACTTAGCTCCATTATTGGCATTTGGTTGTAACTAGGTCAATATCTAGTAAACACAAGTACGTAGTAATGGCAAATTCTTTTTGAGCACTTAACCATCTAAGCACAATTCTAAGCACTTTACGTGTATTAAATTACTGAATCCTCATAGCAACATTATTAAGTAAATTCTCTTATTACTTCCATTTTATAAATGAAGCAACCAAGAAACAGAGACCCTTAAGAACTCAGCCCCGGTCACACAGCCAATAAGTAGCACCAAGAGAATTCAAACCCGGGCCACAGAGGTTGACGTTAACCACCACGTCTATTTGCCTCAGTAAACTGTCAGAATAATCAACAAAACAGCCTATAGAGACTGAAGCGTTGTGCTTTTTACCACCTGATACTTCAGTAACTCACCAAACGCCACGGTCCAGCAGTCTCTCTTGTTTTCTCCTTGTACAGGTTCCATATTAGCGACAGGATCATCTTTCTGCCTTGGGTCCCACACCTTCACAGTTCCTGTCACAAACAAAAGTGAGTTGGCAAAATTCAGCAAATAATGGCATTTCTTTTCTGCATTCTTTTCCTGTGGCTTCCCGTACACATGGCAATATTATAGACGTTATAACATCTGAAAAATAGTCACATTTTTCTGACTTCTAATTGGGTAAGTTGTGCTTAGTATCAATATAACCCATATGATACTGTCTGACTTAAATTTCCAAATGGATATACAGAAAAACCAACAACTGTTCCTAAGTTATCAACAAGGTTGATTGACAAGGCAAACACAAATGTTATACAGTTCAAATCACGCTTTACTTTCTTTGCTTAAGCCTAAAACTAGTTATTAGTTATTTAGAATATCAGTGCCATTTTAATTATTTCCTTACCACCCAAATAATCACTGGCATTTATTCTTTATAGAGATGAATAAACTAATTTTACGTCTGTGATTTCTTACATGGGGTTTTAGAATATTATTTCATGTACAATTAAGTTTAATTTCCCTGTGGCAATAGAGAACAGGGAAATATTAAATAAAATTAACAAATAATTCTCCTCAATTTAATTTTAACTTTCTCATTTTAATGCAAATTACAGGACCACTAACTAAATGGTGTCACTGCCTATGAGAAATACAAATGCATGTTATAAAATGGCTGAAAGGAAAGTACCTGAGAGAGAACAGGAAAAGCATAAAAAAAAATCCTTAAAAGGGATAATAAATATAGAAAAAGGGGCACTATTCCACTAGATTTATCTCCAAGAATAAAATAAAATTGGTTATTAAAAAGGCTGCTATAAGGAGAAAAAAATTTCTGCAAATATGACAAGAGGTTTATATTACTCCACAGGGTTCATACAAATTGATAAAATTCATATGGAGTCTGCAATAGTTAAATGAGCGAAGAACATAAACAGGCACTTCACAAAGCAAAATTTACTAGTAAACAAATATAGAAAGAAGTTAACAAAAGTTGGAATGGAGTACACTTTTATCTATAAAATTAGGGAGAAAAGGAAAATCAGCACTGTGGCTAGACTGGAAAACTACCTCACCTATTGTAGCTGATAAGGTAAAAGATACTTTGCAAAGTTTGACAATAAATTTTAAAAAACATAAGATACATTTATTCCAAAAGAATTATATACATGATGATACTCATCTCTTCATTATTTTTAAGTCTCTCTCCCAAAACAATAAACAAAAAACCTATGGTAAACTGAATGCTTATTTTATTATTTATCTTTATTGATTTCAGAAAGAGGGAGAGGAAGAGGGAGAGATAGACACATCAATGATGGGTCATCACTGATCAGCTGCCTCCCACATGCCCCTTGCTGGGGATAGAGTCTGCAACCAGGAATCGAACTGCGATCTCCTGGATCCTAGGTCAATGCTCAACCGCTGAGCCACGCCCGGCCAGGCTAAATTAAATGCTTATTAACAGGGGCCTGGTGAGAACACTGTGACACGTCCATAGGATGGGATGTGACGCAGTCGTTAAAATAAACACGAAAACTATATGGAAACAGCAACATTTACATATTACAAAACATTAAATGGAAAAAGTAAGATACAAAATCACACACACACTGATAACTACACATTGCTGCATAGAAGACTGGAAAGGAAAACAAACCTAGTAGCTACGCTGGTATGGGAGGCTGCTATTTTTCCTTCTATATTCCATATTGTTTTTAGGACTGGAAAGAATATTTGATCTCAAAAACATAGCTGCCCTTGAGTAACTATTAGAAAATTCCACCAACTTTTCTTTAACACCTGTCCCTTTTCAGTCCCTGCAGAGCGGAAAAGTGAAGTTGGTGCCCTTGGAGCTTCCTACAGTGCTCAGCGGAAGGATCACAGAACTTCAGTGTTCAACCAGCTGTCAGCGTGACAATTTTCACAAGTACTGATCCTGCTTTTTAAAAAAGGAAAGTGAAATGTTGCCACCCACATTATATTGTCAGCTGCCTCAAAAGCCTATAAAGAAATTTTAAATCCTTCGAGGTTCATAGGAAACTATGGTTGTTAGTAGTTGAACTGGCTCAAAACTAAGAGTTAAGTGCTTTCCCTCTATCTCAAAATACTCAAGAATGAAACAATTTAGGGATATGCAATCAAACCTGCCTACTAAAAAAGTAGATTGCTGGATTTAGTGGGTCAAGGTTACGGATGATTTCCACATACAGAGGATATACTGTTGTATAAAGATTTATCTTTAAAAAAAAATTAAAATACATAACATAGACTTACCATCTCGGCTGCCAGTCACAATTTCAGGTGCGCCTTCCCCGATTCCGAGTCCACCTACACCATCTATAGTATTTATAATTTCTTTATGGCCCTTTACAGAATAGACTGGGTTCTCTGGAGCTTCCAAATTCCTAAACAACAGAAGACAGCTTCTTTCTTACACCACATGTCCCAAACATTCAGTCCACTACTAAAATGTAAGAATGCATACCATATTTAGATTTTTGTTTAAAAATAAGGGTTTTGCTATGAATTTACACATATACTCCCATTTCTTCTCTCCACTTTAGCATCTTTTAAGCCTTCAATGAAAATGGTCATTATTCAACTTGGAATTCAAACCCCTGAGTCTACTTTACTTAAGATGATTTATGTAGGACCTCTGTACATGAATTACCAGGTCTGCTTATTAATAAGGGCAGATTCGCTGGCTCCTCCCCAGACATAATTAATAAGGACCTCTGGGATGGGGTCCCAAACCTGTGGACTCTTTGCTGACTGAAGTCTAATAATTACTGCTTTAAATACAGAGTAAATTCAAAGGATTTAGAATGTTTCCAAAGTAGGCCTTGGTAGTTTCATCTTGAGATCTTCTGAGGTTTATTTTATTATATGAGTAGTATGTACTCAGTACACATTTCTCCCTTTATAATGTATTATTTTTCACTGAATTCCACATTGATTTTCATCTAGTTATATATTTTTCAGTTTATCAACCCACTGGTCACAAATAATAGTCAAACTGGTGAAGTCTGTCTGATTCTGGAGTTTTTTAAGAGACAGGAATGCAGGAAAGTACCTGCTACTGTGTGTGCCTGAGTCTGCGCGAGAGCTGGATGATGAACGGCCCAGGCGGGTTACGTTAACACATCCCTTTTCTCCCTCGCCACCCTTCTTTTGCTTTTCTACTGGAGCTCCTCTCCGTATTTCTCTTTAACAAGTCAGTTTTCAACAACTTACACTTTTTAAAAAAGGAATGTAGTTTTTCATGATGCAATCCCAACTTATTAATGGGCCAAGATTAGCAAATTTGAGATAGTTCAACCTAGTTTAGACACGATGTTTATCTTTGTAGCATTATTGTGAAAAAATCAAGAGACTAAATAGGATTGAGGTCCTACTTAAAAAACTATTTTACTATTTTTACAGATTTTTAAAAAACATTACTTTTTAAAACATAAAATTATAAGACTTATCAATGAAAATAAGTCAGTAATACCTGTTCTACTCTATTAGGAAGAAAGTCAACAGTTACATTTGTCTCATATTCTTGTGCTGAAATATATTTACTTTAAAAAGCAACACTCAGACTAGTCCCTCTCCCAATTTCTTTGAAAGTATACGCCACAGCATGTAAGAACTAATGCATTGTAATAAACGCTAACTTAATTATAAAGCAGTTAAAGCAAAGGTAAGTTAAAATAGCTTCATTATGTTTTATATTAGGAGTCTAAGACAGATAAATAGGTCAAAGTAATTTAATTACAAAGTAGCAGATTCTAAGTGAGAAATCAAGAAAGGTCACATTAGAAAACATGAGGCAGGGAAGACACTTTTTCTTTACAACATTACTGTGTACTTCAGGTGATTAAGAGATATTCTTGAAAAGTAATTACAGAGAAATTTGAATTCACTCAGCTCTAATTTAAATATAAGGAAATAACTCTAGGTAAAACATGAAAATTAAAAGCCTTTGGCACAATTGTAATTTTGCTCATTCAAAACAGGTTTATCTTGATTTGCTCAACAGATGTGTTCCTAAAAAGTTGTGCTTAGATGTTAGCTAACACATTAAAAAAAATTAAATGAATTAAAACAAGCAAAAACTCAGTATCATTCTGTAATGCCAAACGCATTGCTGAAATGCACACAATTACTATCTAATTTTTCCCCACCTTATACAAGTGCATTTTTATATATTGTATCCTTCAAGATGGAGGGGAATAGCCCATTATTTACAAATACAAGGTATTAAATGGTAGCACCAAACAGCATATGTAGAAATAAATATTGACATTATTTGAAATACCTAAAGAAAAATTAGAATTCTCTTTCACTGGAAGAGTAACAAGACTACTGAAGAAATTGCTTATCTCATGTCTTAACACTAATTTAATAATCTTACCATATATGAAGGTTTCCAGCAAAATCTCCAGTAGCTAAATATCTCTGCTGTAAAGATGTTGCACCAAATGTTCCACATTTAATGGGTTTGGCCTTTTCAATCTTGATAAAAGAGAGGGAGAGAGGATACATTATCTATGTAAGCAACTATTTATAACCCAAGATATTTACAGCTTTATTATGGGATTTAAGTAAGTCACATAATGTAAAAAGCTATTAAAAATGTTTTCTGATAAAAAATTGTCTTGTTTTTCCTTTAGTCATTCTTCTGTAGTTTAAAACCACATAACTGTCAAAAATAATGAGTTTTAATTTTGCCTTTCCTCTCATCTCGCTAATGAGACATTCAAATGCTGACAACTCTATCATCTCCATTGGTTTGCAAATATGAAAATTTCAGCATTTAATGTGATATTCTTCCTTAAGATCCTCTGCAGAAATGAGAACGTAATGAAGATACTGTTCTTTCCAGATGGCTACAGGAACAAAAATGCTTATGAGTCTCTCATAGTTTTCCCTGCAGAACCCTCTAAACTGAGAATGTTTATGTCCTGTTCTCTATCCATAGAAATTTGTATACTTGTGTGTACCAAAGGCACTGCTATTAGTGTGGATTAGCCAATCTTTTAGGGTTCCTTTCATTTAAAAGGCAACCGCTCCAAGTATTGTATATAATCACATTAGTAAAATAACTATACGCCAATGCACTGTTTAAGGCATGTGGCTTATGGAAGTCACCTGAAGACCATATCACAGAAAAGTTCCTTGGAAATGATCTAATACAATACCCCCCGTCATAGATAAAGATAGCCAACCCTAGAGCTTTACAGATTTGCCCAACTCAAGCATTCAACATTCAGTGACCTACTATATGCAAGTCCATGAACTAGGCAGAGGACATAGAGATGAACAAGACTGGCCATGCCCTCGAGGAGTTTACAACCCAAATACAGGAGTGCCCCTATCCAGGGGGATATGTTCTAAACTCAGTGGACACCTGAAACAGAAGATAGTACTGAACCCTATATGCACTATGTTTTTTCCTATATATAACTATGATTAAGTCTAATTTATAAGTCAGGCACAGTAAGACATTAACAATAACTAATAATAAAATAGAACAATTATAACAATGTACTGTAATAAAAGTTATGTGAATGGCTTTGGGCCATTATTAAGTAAAATAAGGGTTACTTAAACACAAACACTGCAATCCTGAGACCGTTGATCTGATAACCAAAGCGGCCACAAAGTGACTAACAGGCAGGGAGCGTATATACCGTGGATACCAGGGTGGGACAGAGTAAGATGGTCTGAGATTTCATCACACTACTCAGAGTCGTGTGTGATTTAAAACTTATGAATTGCTTATTTCTGGAATTTTCCATTTAATATTTTCAGACTGTGGGTAATGGAAACTGGAAAGGGAAACTGTGGATAAGGGGGGTGCTACTGTATCACTTCCTACCTGACTCCTCCTATATTTACACATGCATTATGACACTCCCACCGACTCCCACACCTCTGTGGGTCTTTGATGTTTCTGATTTCTCCAAAGTCCCCATTGACCTCAACTTCACCTGCTGAGGTCACTGACATCCCTCCAGGGGCCTGCTTTTCCTTCCGGCTCCACCCCTGGAAACTCTGGACAATCTGGAATTAGATGAGGCCACTACTTGATGCCTGTCCCACAATACACTCTAGCCTTATAATAACCATTTACTGTCAGCCTCAACAGGGCAAAACTATTCCTCTTATTTGGTCCCTACAATCTTTAATTTTTTTTATTCTTAATGTTTACATAATACATTTCCCTCTAAAAATTCAAACAAAATAAGACTAAAGGGAAAAAAGTGAGTCTCCCTTTGACCACAGAAGTAATGCCCACCCTTCTAAGCCTCTTTCTATACATTTACAAACACATATAAGGTTGTTTTAATATCAAAAGGCTTATCATATGTTGTCCTTCGACTTGATTTTTTTCACTTAACAATATATCCGTATGAACTTTTCCCCTACACCGAGTTCTCCAGTTGCTAGGGCATCTCCCCTTGTAACCCTTCAGGTCCTGTGTCAAGCTTCATCCCTCCCATTAGGGCTGGCCTGTTTCATATAATTTAAAATATAATTTCCCTTGCACTTTCAATGTTTGGCCGGGCATTTCCATATAGGGTATACACAGCAACTTTCAAAGAAAAAGAAAATGAAATTCACTTCACACAAACTAAAACTAAAAATTTCTTTCATGATTCAAAAGAGATTGTTACGTGGTACAAAGCTTTGGAAACTCTCAGCTTGTTAAGGTTTCTCATGGTTTGGGATCTAGATAAATTGGCAGTTACTAAGTAGCCAGGTATAAAATAAAGCATTCACAGCCTCCTTGGAATTGTCCAGTAAACAAATCAGTCATCTACAATAACATGGTTGTAAAAGACCATATTGGTAAGAAGTGCAGAACCACAGAATGTTAATTTTTTTCTTTTTAATGCATAGGTGGTCCAACATGACATGTTACTCACTATGGGTCCTCCCCACCTACTCCTTCCCTCAAATAAAAGTACCTAAAATAATATATTAATACTGATATAGCACCTAATCACAGTTAGGACACATTTCCCATGGTTGAACTAATTCAAAGTTCCAGCTTATACCAACTGATGAAACAGCCATCGACTCCCCCCGTCTGTTTCACAGTGGGCCTGGGTCTCCCCAGCTCTAAGTCATGGGTAATGGCGGCCCTCTCGGTAAGATGCAGGTGGGCCCTAATGGGCAAGAATGTGGTCCCAGGGACTCAGAGGATTAGGAGCCTTGGGCAGCTGCATCATTTGCTAGTATTTTCTAACAAACAAGCTAAAAAAATTATTGAAGAAAAGTTGGGCTGACAGAACTCTGGAAAACTCTTCTCAGAGAAGTACTGGGAAGACTGGTCACCCACTTCTTCTCTTCCCCCAGCTAAAAGCATTCTGCCTCTCGTAATTCCACTCCTCCCACCTGGAGCCTCTGGCGGGGTTTCTCTCCTTCTTCCAGGGCCATGGAAGAGGGAGCAGCTAACTCCTACCTGTCAGTGCCTACAGGGAGCACACAGTTCTTCTAGGATTTTATTGCTGGTAATAAAAACTTGGGAAGCACAAACTTAGCTCCTTATCTTATGCCTTTACCTAATGTTCCTTTGGGCCCTCTGGGATAGGGAATCTCAAACCATGCTCCTGGAACACACTGATATTCTGGCACCAATGCAATTTTTCCCCTCTTTTTAAAAAAATATAGAATGCTTCATGAATTTGCACGTCATCCTTGCGCAGGGGCCATGCTAATCTTCTCTGTAATTTTCCAATTTTAGTATGTGTGCTGCCGAAGCAAGAACAGGTACCTACATAAAAATTTTTTTTAAAGCTGACTGTTTTTTTCTCAAATTTAACTTTTCTTCAATAATTTTTTTAGCTTGTTTGTTAGAAAATACTAGCAAATGAACGCCAACAAGAGAATCTGGAACTGAGGATAAGAAATTTCCTGTGATGTAAAGATCAGAATATATATATATTGTAGATTTTCCTACTGGAAAAACCGTTCCCTGTGCAGAGACAAAGCTGCCTATTCCAGCGCCTCACGGTATTCCAAAACCAGCAACACGATGTCCAGATGTTCTGCCACCTGAACATGTCGGAGGATTCCTACCTTAGAAGAAACGAGGCTGAGAACTATGTATGCCATGTATATCTATTTCATGATGGGCCATATACTAGTTTCACTTCATACCTGCATAGATTCTAAAAGTGGATATTATTGCAAATATAATGGAATAAAATAAAATGTATGTACATTTAGAGGTACAGACTCACAGGAGTGGCACCACAGCCTGTGGTGTACAAAGTGCAGGGAACCCTTTGAAATCTGGCCTTCGTCTCTCAGGCTTCTCCCCATCCCTCTACTACACTCCGGCCACACCTGTGGCTTTTTGTTCTTCAGACACACCGAAGTTATTTCTACCTCAGGACATTTGCATTCCTCTTCCCACTGTCTGGACTGCTCTTCCCTCACTCAGATCACATCTTCCTTCTCACAATTCAGATTTTAGTTTAAATGTCACCTCCTCTAAGAGGCCTTCCCTGCCCCTCCAATCGGAAGTGGAACTCCCAAATCACTATCAATCTTGCCCTGTTTAATCTTCTTTATGTCACTTACCAACTAAATTATTCAATGATCTATCTCCTCCCTTTCTAGAATGATTACCATGAGAATGGGGCCTTGTCCAATTTGTTCAGCTCCTAATAGGTGCTCAACATTTGTTGAATGAAAGTATAACTGGTCATCTATTAATCTCTGTTCTAGTGTTGGGAGGGAGAAACCACTGTAGACTGAATTCCCATTCCCATTTCTCCCACCATGTTTTCAAGTGACATACAGTTTCTGGTGTCATTTATATGCAATAATGAAAACAGTATCTGTATGCTGGACACCTATATATCAGATACTGTTCTAGATGTTTTCTAGACCAGACCACCCCTTCTCTTTCCAACACACACAACTGCACACTAAGCCCTGGGAAGACCCTTTCCAGAGAGGAAACAGGGTCAGAGGGCTAGACTTGCCCAAGGTCCCAGAACCAAACTAGGCTGACTCCAGGCCTACACATATAACAATTAAATATTTTATTATGTAGCCCCCATTCTGTAAACCTCAGAGTCACTAGAAATACCAAAGAAATGTTCCAATCCTGAAATGGATTGAGAGGTAAATGGTTCAGGCATGAATTAAACCTACTTTCAGATTTGTGTCCTTTGGTTTTTACCTTCATTCTTATCTTTACAAGACAGAAATATATATTTATGTTGTGCAAGAATCAAATTAAACTCAAAATATATAAACATCTTAACAAATAAACTCAGACATATAAACATCTTTTCTGCCCAAGGAGGACTGCACTTTGCTCAGAAAGGCTGAGCTATTCTGACAAATGGACTTATAAAAGCAGGGGTCTTTTCTCTTTCCTCAGTCATTCATGGAAATCATAATAGTAGCTAAGTTAAGAGAGGGTGCTGGAGTGAAGCTAATTTTTACAGTTCATAAAAAATGCCGTTAAATACTTCACCTTTACAAAAGAAAACACGAAAAGAATTCAGTGGTTACTTAAAATTCTTCTCACTTGAAAACCGTTATAAAATATATGTCTATTTTGTGAAATTTGTTCCATAATGATAATTAGTATATATGAACTTTTGCCATATGATAGTGAAAATGACCACCCATGATAGCTGCGTTTGACCCAGATGTCGGTTCTCTTTGCTACAATAAGTTACCATGGTTAAAGAAGCCCATGATGGATAATTCTAGTGAGAGCTATTTTTGTTCTGTCTGTGGGCAGGTCTAGTACAGCTTGTCAGTATTGCCTCCTCCACATCCTGGCACTACTTAATTAACATTAAAAGGTTTAGTCAACCAAATGCTAACAAGCAGTGAATTCAGTGCCACAGGGACTAAAAAAGCAGAACTATATTAGCTTATTACTAAATTTTAAAGTGTAAACATCTCCAACTATAATTCCATTTTTCAGGGCTACCCCTAGTCCTTCGTGCCAATTAGAAAAATGGTGCCTTTTACAGGCCGATGAAGTCTCACACGGGTAAGGCTTGATGAAAGAGATGCCAGACGCCCGAGGGTGACGCAGCAAACTGCGCAACTGTACCTGGCGGCCCCGCCTCATTCTCCATCTATCTCTAGTAACAGGATACGGAAGGCACCAACAAAGATTTTCTTCCTTTTCATCTTGGATGCACAGGCTTTGGAGTACATGACTTGAGGTGGTCCCACAATGATAGAATCAAGTATATTTCCCAATGTTTTAATAAAATAATTCATCTAGCTCCATTGTGGTCAGTCCTGTACTCATTAGAACCACCCGGTGGAAGTTGAAAAAATACTGACGCCCAGACCTCACTATAGTGTAGATGCAAGAGTCCCAGTGCATCAGGACCTCTAGGGGTGGGACCAAGACATGAGTATTTTAAACCACACACACAAAACAGCAACAATACACATTCAGGTGACAATAATGTATGTTAAGAACTGAGATGCACTGAGCTTGAACTTAACTTTATTCTTTCCGAAGGCACCATCACAGCAAAATACCATGTTAAGATCTTAAATGTTTTTGTATTTGTCTTATCCTCTCTTTATACAGCAGGCTCTTTAGGAGAAAAAAATCATTTTAGTACTTTGGTCTTTCTTCAGCGTAGTGCCTTGAAACAATAGTTTCTCAGCAGATAGTTGATGGTAGAAAAAAAGAAGACCCAAAAGATACAGGTAAAATATAAAAAGTAGTTACTCCTAGGGTTGAGATCATGGGTGATACTAATTTTCCTCTTGTCCTATTTATATTTCTAAAATATTCTATCATTAACACATTACTTTTGCTAAAAAGCAGATTTATTTCAAGAACTCCTTAGAATCCTCCAGAATCTCTAGAAGAGACAAAAAGCACTATTTCACTTTTTGGAACAAATATATTCCCGAAATATACACAAATCACAGTCTTATAAAAAAGAAATCACGCCCATCCGGGCAAGGCTCAGTGGTTGAGCATCGACCTAGGATCCAGGAGATGGAGGTTCGATTCTGGATCAGGGCACATGCAGGGGTTGTGGGCTCAATCCCCAGTAGGGGGAGTGCAGGAGGCAGCCGATCAATGATTCTCTCATCATTGATGTTTCTATCTCTCTCTTCCTCTCCCTTCCTCTCTCTCTGAAATCAATAAAGATATATTTAAAAAAAAAAAAGTCACAAGTCTATAGATGCTCTCTGGTTGAGCTTTGGTTGTTGTTTGTTCCTAATACTTCACCTTTAAACTTCTTTCTGCTATTCTAATGTTTCCCATTTGTTTAAACCCCTCACCCCAATCATATAATCAATAAATCAATAATTCAATTACCCATTACATTAAGTATATGATTGTCTAACCACTAAGCTGTACACCTGAAACCAATACAAAATAAAATTGCAAGAAAAATAATTAAATTACCCAAGTTATATCTTTTACATACATTTACTCATTCTTTTAACAAGTAATTTACTGAGACACTGCTCCTTATGTACCATATTAAAGAAAGACACTGTGCTAACCGGTGTGGCTCAGTTGGCTGGGCAGCAGTCCTGTGCACTAGGTATGTGCCCTGCCTGGGAATGGAATCAGCAACCCATAGGGGGCGGGCAGGAGGCAGCCAGTGGATGGCCCTCTTCCTCCCTCTCTAAAAATCAATAAAAAAATCTTAAAAGAAACAGAGAAGGGAAGGGAGGAAGGCAGACAGTTTCTACAGATAAATGGGACAGGATGATATATTTCAGGCACATACAGTACCACAGGAATGCAATGTAAGAAAAGTTTCTTTGTGTGGGATCTGAACATAAATCAAATAATCTGAACTGGACCTTAGAACAGCAACAGATGACTGGGGGCTAAGTGGTGAACAACTTAAGGAGAGATAGAAAAGAACAAGCCACGTTTACTGAGTAGAGTCCCTGACTAGAGAAGACAAACAAGAAAACTGGCACTTGTAGAAATTTAAAGCAGGATGGGGACCAACTTACCTTCTAATCTAAGCTTTCCTATGGACACTATATTCATTCTTTACTTACCTGTTTAACCTCCAACTCCTCCAAGCAGATTCTCTCTATAGCTTTGGATCCCTGGAGTTGTCAACCTTCCCTGTAGTCTATCACACCCCTAAACACCTGAGTATGATCATTTCCCCCCCCAGGCAACCCAAATCAAGGCATTTTAAAAACTGTAAGCAGGTATAAAAATGTTAGCTAACAACATTACTCTTAAATACTTTCACTAGTGATTTTTACAAAACTTGTAAACCTGACCATGCCACACACTGCTTAAAGCCCTTCAATGATGTCCTGTTTTTCT